ATGGTGATTGTTGTGTACATCAAAAGAGAATGACATATGAGTTTAACCCTCATATTAATGGCTCCCAGCATAATAAGACATTTATCGATTAATTTTCTGATATTTTTGTAGTCCCGGAGCTTTATTTTTTATTAAAGTTCCTTCTCCCAACAGTTTATTGTTATTACTATTAACAGTAAATTATAAAATTCCTTTTACCTAAGAAGCCGTTTAGAAGATTTCTATTCAAGCTTTTCTTCTCTAATATTCGTTAGTTAATTTTGTTTGATAATGAAATATAATACTTCCAATTAATAATATGAATGTCTCATATTAGGCAAGACTATTCGGGTTTGACTTGACTCCTTTGAAAATTTAATTATTTAGTTAAAACATTAAATTATATCTTTTTTTTTTTTTCTCTTGTTGAGTTTGCCACTTATTTCTTGAAAATTGTGATACATGTTTCATTATTCCTTGCATGTTTCCGAACATATAGTTCAATCATTTTACTGCTGAATCTGATATTAATATTCGAATACTACGAATTGCAGTATATATAAGGAACACGTGCTGGAATATTTAATTGACACTTTGTATAAGAAATGGCTTGTATAATGTATGTTTCAATCGACGCCTCATGGATCTGATAAGTCGTAGAGGGGCGATCGGTGTGGCCGAGGCGAGCAGGAACCACGCATCACTGACTCCTCTGTCCACAGCCTCCTCAATGCTGTCATAGACATCTCAATTGATTGCCTATCAGTTTTTTAGTTTGATTTATCTGATCCTTATAAATAAATATTTATGAGTCATGATAAACAAGAGTATTGAAAATACAAATTCCATAATTCTGTCTACCTGGTCTAAATTATATACAAAAACGTCTGCCAAGTAAGGTCAGTGTAGCTTCCTCACCGTTTGCATTGGCAAAACAATATCTGCAAGGTCTAAAATTTTTCGTATGAGAATAAAATCTCAGGGAGAATCGGTTTTCGGAAATTCGGAAATCCCTCAACATATACGGGTTTGATATACACGAGTTTTGTTCATCAGCGAATACTAAAATGCTAAAAAGTTTCGCCTATGCAGATTTCATATTTAATGACTCGGGACTAAGAAAAAAAAATAGAGTGCGTACTGAACATGAATATCACTACTGTTAGTGCAAAAAGTCGTATGTAAACATTGATTGATGTACAGGAAAACATAAAAACTAATTGTTTCTATATGATTTATTAGTATAATTTCATAATTTATTGCCCTCTGTTATTTTTCATCGTAGCAGAATGCTTATACCATTTGCAGAATGCAAAATGTAACATTTAGAACAAATATAATCAAAAGTTGAAAATTTTTACATACGACTTTTTGCACTAACAGTAGTAATATGTACTTAATCGGCATGTTTTCACTAATGTTAAATGTTAAATAGATGTTACAGAGAGAGAAATAACAACAACTAAACTTATTGCTTTTTCAGAGTTAACGAGACCAATACTTTTCTTCAGTGAGAACAAAACTATTTTAGCTGAATTATAAAAATATATGTAAAAACCACACATAAACTCGATACCACGAGGAGCTGGTTGAACTTCAACAGAAATAAACACAATCAAAAATACGATTTTTTTTTACAAACTCAACAGTAAAAATTAATTTAAATTTATTGAAAATTACACGAAATCTAAGTAACGGCAGTAAGTATCATGCGAGTAATGGAAGCGATGGAACAATACAGTCTAAATCAACCCTTTGAATAAAACCTAAATTTTTATAACCCTATAAAAATATTGTCGTAACCTAACTCCCACTTCATATAATCAGTGCCTTTCACATTTCACTGCCATTATATTATTAACAATTATTTATATTAATTTAAGTTCTTAAATGGAATTGAATGAAAATTGACATTATGTTATTTTTTCACCATTACCTACATTGTATCTAACTTAGAGCCAAATCGAACTAGCCCTTTCTGAAATATTGGCATATCTAAAAAAATACGTTTGCGCGTGCGTAAGCGGAAGTGGTGTATGAAATTTGATAAAATTGATAAGGGACCATCTAGGCACCAATCCGCATAATCCCTGAAAATTTCATGAAAATCGGATGAACGATACTAGGTGATATGCCTGTCATATCGATTTGACTACAGACAGACCAGACTCCGATTAGACGATTAGATGATTAAGCTAAGGCCTAGAAGTAGGTATGCAAGTATTTTAGCATGTCCATAGAAATTTTGTTTTATATTCAAAGATAATAATATTAGGGACAGATTCTAGGATTTTATGATTCATTCATTTGCACCCTTCCATTTTGACATGACTCTATCACATTTCCTCCGACAAGTTTGAAGGATGGGAGAATTGAGAGCTCATCTTACTGCCTCATCCTTTAAATAAAAATAAGTATGTGTATTACATTCAATAGCTTTATTAACATAGTTTCAATGAAACCATATGTAAAAAATATATATATATATATAAACATAGTGTTATATTGTTCATTTCACAATCTTTATGTTTATTATGTCAATTATCACTCATAATTTTTATACATTAATTTTAAAGATTTTTAATTTATTAAAGAATTAATTTCAATTACATAATTTAAAGCAGATAAGGAATAAATTTATTTTTTTAGGGATGGGGTAGATGACCTAATTATCCGAGGCGCCGAACGTCTAATGTCGTTTCTGTGTTTATTTATAAAACAAAATAATAAAAATTAGAAACTTACATATACAAAAAAATATACGAAATGAATAATATTTATTAATATCAGGTAATTAGTAAATTAGATTTGTGTTTTATTAATTTCTTTAATGATTTTATCTTTTTTTTTTTTTTATTTATCACTACCTAAAGTACATCCGCACGTGCAAATGTATTTTATTTGTTAACGAATATAAAATAGGATGGATAATGTTGATACCAACTTCTGTTTAATACAGTTTTACTATCAGTACTAATTCAACTTTTTTTATTTTTTGTTTAATACCGTAAAATGTTATTTAAAGTTATACAAGTTGTAAAATACCTTTTTTACAGCTAGCACAGTTAAAGTATCAATAAAAAGTGGATAAGTTGTCGTCTACTTTATGTCTTTCCTTTTATTGCTAGTTTCGCGAAGATAATTCTAGGGTACAGAATCTTCTATGTATAGCTTTACACGTCATAAAGTGTTTTCTCACGATCAGTTTCTTGTATATTGATGAAGATTAGAAAGTCACCTTCCAGAGTTTCTGCTAGAAGGGGCAAACTTAATTTCGCGTCTCTTCTTTCACCTCAGGCGGTCCCCAATAAAAATCACATTCAAAAACCTCTGATTGTTATAAACCGATGGATTTAAATCAATACCTTTTATCTCAAATTCAACGAATTTTCTTTAGGATTTTTTTATTTTAAGCAATTTTTCAAGTTATGTTACTTGATTAGTTTAAAATTGTACTACTCATTGTCATATAATTTTTTATTCAATTATATAATTTTTGTAGTTATATTTAACTTAAGTGGTATTCACTAGCGGATCCAGGATTTAATTTTGGGGGAGCTTCAGCCCGGAACTTTTTTTTCATATATATATATATAGCGATCATTTCTTTGGAAAAACAGAAAGATTCTAACTACCTGTATGGAATTGTGTTTAAGTGATTCTTGAAGTCCTATTAAATGTAATTAAACGAGCAATAATACTTTAAGACATAATTTTTTACCATAAAAAAATGGTTATATTTGACCATTTGGTGGGGGGGAGCTTCAGCCCGAAAGCCCACCCCCCGTAAATCCGCCTGCGGTGGTATCAATAAATTCAATCAATAAATAAATTCAATTTATGAATTTTAACTTACATTGAACTTATAAGGTATTGGATTGAATCCAATATCTGATTAGAAAAAAATGTGTACATAAATCCATTTATGCCTGATAAGTAAAGCAAATTAAAATAATTTTTTTTTTTTACATTTTATGTTTGATTTCTTACTAATAAATTAAAGGGTCCTTTCCTTAAATCTAAGTCTTTTTCCTTAGATTTTCGTAAATATGGGATCAAACCTTTATTCCACTTCGGAATCGGAAACTTACAACATTTTATACACTATTGAATTTTTTTTTTACTATGGCTAACTCTTGCATGATTTCATTTCATTTCTTCGAAGATTTCGTTAATAACAAATACCAAAAGAATAGAAATTAAATTAAAAAGTGTTATATATACATATATATATTAAACGGGCATCATTAAGCCACAGACTAAAACCGTTGCACTCATTATTAAGATGATATTCTCAATTAAAAGCATGACAGAATCTAAGTATTTACATGTATCTATTAAAACCTCTCTGGACTTATAGATTACAAATATATGGTATTGTAAAACGAGCATACATAAAACGACATAAAACTTTTCAGTCAAAGATTCTACGACTAATTACCCAATCACCATGGTAGTGAACAACGAGACTTTACACACTGACATGCAAACGATCTATGAACACATACAAACTTATTAACTACAAATGATTTCATAATAAGTTATATAGTCGCTCAAACCAGTTAATAAAAGAAATTCCCACAGCTATCATGCTATTATGAACTCCAGAAGACGACAGAAAAGAGACTGGATGTGGGATCTACTTACGTAATTTTTTAGTAAATAAAAGCCATGTAAGGCAACGGCTGGGTATTACTCATGCCTTTAAAGCTTTTTTTTATAGTTTTATTTTATTTTTCTCATGATTATGCCAGCCCATCTGCTGATTGTCGATATTTGTAATTAACAGGTGCGGATTAATAAATAAAAGTCAAAAGAAAAAAGAGTTTTTTATACGAATGAATTAATATTAATTAATTATAAGTAAAAATATAGTTAAAATTAAGGAAGCGTTAAGGTCACACAGGTGATATTGACATTTATTTTATAAATATAACACGATCTTACTAAATATAAGTATTACTAAGTACAAGTTTATTATTATTTTTATAATATCTCAATATAATTTTTAATTTTTTTTTTAGGTAAGAGATCAATTATTGTCCGTTATACAAGTGAATTGGCCAGAATAATTATCTCGTAAGTAATTTTAGTTTTTATTACTTCAATAAACGGCACAAGCATAATTATTGAATTCCATGCAAATGGTTGTAATTTAATGAAAAAAATATGGTTAACACAACTGCTATATTAGTTTTTCATAATCATTATGAATTTGAGCTAAGTTTATATTTTGTATAACTTTATGTAATATATTAATTAAAAGTTTATAAATAAATATAAGTTTTCATAGTATACACAATAATTATTAATTATAAATTTTATGTCTATAAATAAATAACCCTACCAATGCACCCTTATTCGAAAGGTTTTTTCTAAAATATTATTTAAAAATTTATAGTACGCTATGTTCTATCTTTGTAAAAACATTGGCTTATATATCTTCAATTATTTATCTACTGAAGGCCTTTCAAATCATGTTCATATTTATATTTGAAAAAGTAAAATTTTGAGGTAATTTGGCATATATTAACTAAATCATGACGATGTCTTATGAGAACTAATGGAAGCCAATACAGATTCGATTGTAAGCAATTTCGATATCACTCGATTAAGTCTAGCCGCTTACTAACGATAAATGTTGAGACAGGCTGTTTGAGATAAGAAATTCATGACTATTAAATCTATTAATTGAATATTTACCATCCATAATTAGTTTTTGTTAATAATTAATAAAAATTCTTTTGTTTCATTACCATAGTCTCTTTTATTATTCCTTTCGGCTTTTAAGACATTCTGATAGTCTTGGTCTTCTCCTTTCCAGTTTGCTGCATACAAGTCAGCAGGATATGGATTGATTTGATTTGCCCATCTGGTTTTCGGGCTTCCATGTGGTCTCTTGCACTGTTGAGGCATTAATTGTTGTATAGAGACTTCCTGATGTATTGCTCCGAGCTAGGTGCCCCACCCATCTTAACCTCCTTGCCTTCAAATCATAAGATATTGATTGGCCAGTTTCTATAATCAGTTCTATATTGGTCCTTCTCCTTCATAAGTCATTAATCTGATTCCAGCTCGCTCCAATTATCGTGCAGAGGACACTCAGTTCTTCTCTGAAGGGTGTTGGTTAGAGTCTTGATGGAGACATTTTTAGAATTTCAGTGCTATCAGAAGAATGAAGAAAGCTCTATTTGCACTTATTAAACACTGGTCTAAAAGAGACAGTTAGTCATTTTTTAGTCTTCATATATATTAATATATCAGACCACATAATTTCATTTTTTTTTTCTCCCATTGAACATAATGTTTCTATTAGTTGAATGAACTTCCTGATTACTGCCGGCTCAATTTCACACATTACAATTTTAATTTTATCACATAATCCCAAAAGTAAAGGGTTGCACCCTAACCTATCTTAATTTAACATAAATTAGAGTAGTTTTTGAAAAGTATTTTTCGTCATGTTTTAGTTTGGTAAGCAAATAACAAGATTATTTTAGGAGCTCTTTAAGAAAACGAAAGCTGTTTTAATTTGACCATTTATGATATAAAACCTGGGTGTAGGACGCTCCGAAGGTACTGTTTTATTGTTTCAGTCCGTGATGTTCTTTATGGTGTGTACTAAAAACTTGCACAACATATGGATAATCATATGAAAGGTAATCAAATTATCTACAAAAAAAAATCCGCAAAGAGTTTTTTTTATTATTGATTAACAAGATAGTTCGAGATGGCGCTCATAAAAAGATTAAAATAGTTCTTACTACTTTTCTTTGTCTTCTTACTCAATAATATACCACGGTCAACCATCAAGTATTCAATTGTTTTTATTGGATTACGCACAATAAGTAATCAGGGAAGTCTTGTGAATGGACGTACTAAAGACTGTAAATCGCGGATGGGATGAGCAGATTCCAGTGTACCATTCAAAGTGGTACGTCTGCATATCCCATGGCAAATCTAGCATAAAACCGTAAATCTTATCACGGTAACAACTATATGTATATTCAGCTGGGTACACATTGCAGCATAATTTTTTTTTAACTAGGTAGGTTCCTCCTGGAAATTCCTTACGTATCCTCTATCGTCCCTCTTATTAAAGGACATCCACCGTTCCGGAACTATATCCCTGGATGGACCACAGGCAGGCTATAATTTAGAACCCTCTTTAGACCACAGCCGCGATGTGGGTGAGTCCACAAAAAGAGCCACGATGTTTTTACCTACCGCACGGTGGCTTTTTGTTCGATCCTCAGTATCTTTCTGGCTGTCTAATCCGACCATTGTATTCGGTGAGTCGTATATATACCTAGTGTCCCTAAGAGTAACCCTTGCCTCGGCAGCCATTAGTCAATGGTACTTTAATTTCTATCATAATTTAATGTATTTTTCAATTGGAAATGTTACACAGATCAAATAATTAACCTATATAAAATACTATAGTTTTTATTTAATGATTAGAAGGAGATTAGGAGATTAATAGGTATACCTTGATCAGTTAAAATATTTTTTTTTCAATCTCTCTGAAGTTTTCATCACAATTGTAAAACATTTCTTAATGAGTGAAGAGTTCAATGCAACTGAACTCAACTTGTTCACTAGACTACTATCAAGCGCTCGAGGTTTAATACTGATTTAAAACTTATATCGTATTATCTTTTTACCTCTTATTGGCCTACTCATCTTTCAAAGTCTTCAAATATTCTTATTTCTTTGACACCTGATTCTTATTATTTCCACATTCCAATGTTTTTCTTTATTTGACCTCTCGTCTGACCATATTCCAGTTTTACTTGAACTATCAAATCTCCCTTTCTCCAAATCTGCACTCTCACATTGATCAATGATTGCATAAACTGAGTAAATTTTAAAAACTTGCATTATTGAATCTAACGACCTTGACAATGCAGTCAACGGCTTATCAGAATGTATACGCAATGCAGTCTATCGTACTATATCATGGACTATACCAATGTAATTATGGATCTTATTCATAACTATCTGAGCTCATATGTAATATCATATAAGAAAAGCGTAGAATTAGAATTTAAATTTTTTGAATTTAAAATATAACAAAAAAATATCTAGATTTCAAGTTGCAGACACCTGGGACATTTTAGACTCTATCGATCGAGTAATTAATTTTAATTAATTATTTATTATAATAGAATTATGATCATAAACAATTGGATGAATGTATCTTATTCGTTAGTTTACACTCAATATTTTCAGTAATGTATAAAAAATAATGTGGATAGATTACTTTTCTATCAATTTAAGTAGGTGTGTGGTGGTTAAAATACAGATGTTGACTAGGAAATAAATACCTAAATAAAACGATTTTGAAAGTGACTAGAACTACGTTTTTTTTTCATAGTCTCTCATTGCCATTTCTGTTAATTAAGCTACATAAAAATTATTCTTTTTCTGTTAGTTGCATTTCTCCACACCATTATTCTGGTATTTAAGATATTCGACGCAGAATGAAAACAAGAGGCGTCGTGCATCACAATTTATAGTCTTTTAATAGCTCTGAGACGAGCGATAGCATTTATCAACGACTAAATACATTCGATTATCGCTCTTCTCTAGCACATATTTATAAATGATCAGATGATTAATTATTTAAATTTATATTTTATTTATCTTAGTAATAATCCTATGATTCTTCATGAGCCATCAAAAGGAAGGTACTCATACTGAATGTAATTTGCAGAATACCTTTAAAGGGATAATAATTAAAATTATATCTCAATTAAAATGAATATATTTTTTTATAACGTTTTGACCCAATAGTTCATCTCATTTTATTATTGAATACAGTCCGTAATGTATTATTCTTAAAATTTTGGAAGGATTCAAAACAAAGCCTTGTGGTTCACAAACAATAAAGACCTTATATGTGGAACAGAGATAGAGGATCTCACAGAAATAATCTAGAAATGTTTAACCTAGTCGAGATGATACGTATAAAATCGCTCAAACTTTCAAAATTTGGTATTTATTTCTTTTTGGAGATTCTTTATAAGTTGGTACGTTTTTTTTTTTTACCAGCCTGCTGTATGATTGTAACTTTTCTCAACTACTATTTGATCATATCTCCTGTTTCCAACTAGGCCGGCAGCCCACTTATTTCATATCAAGATTTTTCCTAAAAAAGTGACCATGTCCATCGGTCTGATGAGATAAATGCACGTAGCCTTCATATAGCAGCTGGAATACAAAATGTACAGAGAGAAGGCCTAAAGATATAGAAAGGTACCAACCCTTTAAATTTATAGTATTTACTGTCTTCGGTTTTTCGCTTATATAAGTGCAAATATGCGTTCTAGCGATAATAATGCTCTATTTATAATTAAAGCTGACAAAATTTGATACAGAAATGTCTTAGTTGTATTTATTTTTTTGCTTTTTTCTTTAATTTCGAAGATATCCGTTCTCGTAATTCATTAACTTTGAAGCAACATTGTTTTTTCCTCGCATTTTTATCATTACTTGACTCGCTAATTCCTTATCTTTTCATTTTACGAAATAGTCATGACATGGACGGATATCTCGGAAACTGAAGATAAGGAAAAAAAAATAACATTACCATTTTCGTCAGCTGTTACTATTATCATTTTTGTTAATATCGGTAGAACTAAGTTATAAATAGTTATAAAAATAAAATGAACTCATGGATATAAAAAGAGAATTTTTTTAGATCGTAAATTCAAATTTTCGGGTTTAGGGTAAGTAGCTAATAACTTGGATTTTTCTCATGATGCTTGTGGACTTTGTCAATTTATAAGGTCAAACCTTAGTATGAAATAAGTATTATTTTTTTCCGCGAGCTAACGGACTATACAGATTAGGATTTCTGAAACATCCATAGCTTTCTGTTTAAAAAACTTGTGAACATGAACATTTTTCATCATTTGTCTGATTTAATTGCTGTCGCTATCATTTAACTGGATTATTCCACCTTAACAAAATATGTGGTAGATAACAGGCTATCCCGAGAGGACAGAAGGTGACGGGGATGATCTGAAGGATGAAGGAGCCGAAAAGATTGGTTCAGGTCCTCGGATCCTGTTAAA